AAAAAAAAATACGTTGACGAGACGTTGTGCCAGAGATCGGTCGCACGGATTACCGACATCGATAAATGTGGTCGCCTTGCCTTTATGCAACCGTCCCGTGCGTCCGATACGATGAACGTATTGCTCCCATTCTGTTTCACTTGGCAAATCATAATTGATAACCTGATGAAATTATGATTACTGATCAAATTCTGACAAAGTGTTATTATCGTTATTACTAAAAACATTATCACTGCCATCAATATCGTTGTAAGATGCTGTTAATAAAATTGGAGGGTACTGCTGGCTGATACTATGTGACTGACATTATTTGCGAATAATTAAAAATGGAAGTTCTTTTTTGTATACAAAACACTCGACCAGGGTGTGTGTTATAAGACAACACTATAAAATTAAATTGCCTAGCTATAGTAATCATTCAGACTGATGAGTGATCACCCGAATTTCAGTTAAATTAAGGAGAGTTTCGCATGTCTCTTTCAGTTTCAGTTGAATTAAGAGTTCCAGATGCACTGACTTAAATGAACAACTAAAACAATACGACTGAACAATGAATTCATTTGTGTGATGACAGTGGAAAGAAACAAATGTGAATAGACGAAAAAGCGAATGAGTACATGTTCCAAATCTGGTACGTCAATGCCTCGCGCACAAACATCTGTCGCAACCAGCACCCGAGCTTCACCTGAACGAAACTTTCTCAACGCTTCCTCTCGCTGACTTTGATCTCTACCACTGAAATTATTTCCAAATTTTCGAAGATCAAAACCGAAAAAGCAATGAGTTCTGCCACAATCCATATTCATTCCGTATGCTAATGCACGCTTATTTTTCGTGTTCTGCTGTTGCACTGAGAAGGTGTGTGCTCCGATTACGTAATGTTCTGACAGGTGCTTTATCCTTCGTCATGTGAATAGAACAGAAGTAAGTAAAATTGATCATCGATAATTTTTAAAATACGACACAGGATTGTGCCCAACGACAGTGCTATCGAAATCAAATCAAAATACGCAACCAAAAAATCTTTCGCGTATCAATAAAGGAGAATGAGTAAACACTGAAATGGAACCGACCCGTGAATGCTCCATGCAGGAAGTTTGTTATTCTTCAAATGGATTGCCACTGTATCGGAATCAACCTGGCGGTGCACAAATATGAGTGTACGACTTATACTTCCATGCAGTTCTTGCTCTTCAGTCAACAAATCAGTCAATGTCTTCAGCTTATCGCGCTGTCCCACCTAAAACGCATNTAGCACATATACAATGCGAACACTTGTATTTTTCAGAAAGTGACGCTGAAATTGTTTGCGAAAGAAGCTTACGGCTAGAGTTTCAGCCGATTAACTATAAGGACAACACGATGGAACGGAAATGTGTCAACGGGAACAATCATCAACAACATACTTAGGGAGAGGGATTATAAAGAGACAGAAACTCATATGCATACCAATGCAATTGAACATGCGAACCGGAAGATTATCTCTTAACGAACGGTACAAAAATAATCCCTTCATGAAATCAAAATACCACAAAACTGGATGAAGAGCCAAGAAAACGACGACAAAATCACATCTTACTTTAAGGAAAATTTGCTGGACTCGCGGATTTGCAGCGGTTGTTCTACCATTTGAAACGAATAAGTAATTGGGTTTTACGAGCTTTTGAGCAAACTGCTCAACATCTTTATCGAATGTCGCTGAGAAAAGCATTGTTTGCCGCTGTTCCACCTTCAGCAATACAAAAAATCGTTTAAAAATCAACCGATTATTTAATAAATACATGAAAGTCGGTGGATGATAATGATAGGCAATAACATTGCAGTTAGGTAGATGATAGTCTGCGTTGATGTTTTTAGTTTCCGTAAAGAAGAACGTCGAAGAAGGAAGAATTCACTGATATTCATGATAACGAAGAGACATGCACTTTCAATGAGTTGTCGTAATTGTTGACTAAATAAATAAATACAAAGCGATCGGCAAGACAACTTCATCCCCGTGTGCATAAAACTCTTTGGAGGAAAGAGGATCCCTGAACCGAGAACGTCATCCTATAGAACTCTCTCTACATCGGGTTCTTCTGTTCTTCAGCCTAAGTGTACCTCGAATACAAAGGAAACATAATAATTTGAAAACTAGCTAACAGTTGGAAAATTTGGTTGCCTCATCAAATCATGGATGTCATCTTGGAATCCTTGTGTGTCGAGCATTTTATCAGCCTCATCCAGAACAAAATATCTGACATTGTCGAGGTATAACTGGAATTTTATCATTAATGTTAATGAACTTTCAAAACTAAGATTTTCAATTGCTTATTATCTGTCGGAACCGAGCCCTCTTCATTTCTTTCTTTGTTTTTATTTTTTATTTTAATAACGTTATCGAAACCCAACACGTATTTTGCATCGACGCAGAATCGAACTCACGCCCTCTGAACTAATCGAATTCTCAAAGGTCATAAGAATAATCGATCGACTGCCTTTCGCACTCACGTCACATATCCACACAAAAACGTAAGCTTCGTGATGATAAATTTTCAAACTTGTAATTCTTCAGTGTTGCGATCATATGAATATTGATAACTTTTGGCAGAATCACTATTCGTCTGTTCAACTAGTGGAGGGTTTGCATCAGAACTGAGGACGTAGTCTACTAACATAGTCACGGTTAACTAAGTGCAGAAGCCTTCCCATTGTTGCAAGTAAGATATGACATCCATTTCGTATCTGATCAACATTTCTACTGAAATCGATTTGTCCATAACACTGCGCCACTTGAACACCTGTTCCTGGAAAGCGTAAACCGGCAATGGATCATTCATTATGATGAGAAAATTTCAAAGCACTTTTGACAAGGCTGAATCGAGAAACATGAATTAACCAAATCAGGAATGGCACCGGTAAATAAGGATGTCAATGAATATATTAGTGACAAGAACAGATGACAAATCTCTATCTTGTTTCTGACGAGAATATCGTGCGGGTCGAACGTGGACACCATATAGGTGAATGCCATTTCATGTTATCAAATAAATGATCGATACAAAACATTTCCGTTAATGAGCAATCACTAAATACGATTACAAGCACAACAAACAATCAAAGTGATGCGCGGATCAATGATTCCCAAACTATCAAATACACGAATGCTCTAACCATCAGCCATTTTTCTCGTTTGGTTGTAAAGTTGGTTGATCAGTTCACGTGTTGGTGCAACAATTAACGCTATTGGAGAACTTGCTTTGGCACTTTTATGCAGTTCTTTTTGCATGATCATATCAATGATCGGTAATATGAACGCCAACGACTTTCCACTTCCCGTCTCTGCATGACCCAATACGTCACAGCCTTAACCTCACTGCATTATTACTTATACTGTTCAGTGGAATACACTTAACACAGAGTTCGGGTGTACTTATTGATGAAGGAGTCACCAACAGGTTATCATAATACTACTGCGGTAACAAATCACTTCTTATATTCGAGTAGATTATTATTTCTCGTTCAGTTGAACAATCAAGTTGGCAGCATATTCCAAATCATGCTTGATGCATTGATTATGGTGTGCACATGGGAACACACTAACGAGAACACTCACCAAGCCATACCAGCGGAATAACAGCCGCTTGAATCGCTCGTGGTTTTTTATAGCAATGTTTCTGAATATTTTTGATGAGTGCATCAGCCATAATTATTCTGCCACCGTTCACTCTTGCAATCTCCTCTTCCCAATCCCTCAAATTTTTGTTACTTTCCTTCAAGGGTAAACTAAAGTTCTTCATCGATACAAACATATTTCAGAAATAAAAAATCATGCGACTTGCATATGAATATTCAATCACACTGTAAAATACCTTGCAGAAAAGAGAAAAAAATTAACTTTTTGAAACTTTTTTGTGACCTTTCTTATTCGTTTAGAAGAATCACGATCGACTATAACAGATATGCAGGTGCATCTACTGAATGCATTTGAGGATGATGTTTCAGGAATTTTTCATTTTTGTTTGAAACTGAGAGGAGGAAGGGGCAACAGCCGTAATCGAATAATCACTTTTCAAGAAGCGAAGAAAGTTACATGGCAATAATAAATATGTATGACACCGAAATAAACTGACATAAACTTGCGATACTGATCCGGAATTTTTCCACTAAGTGTGACCTCCAAATCAATGTCATCAACCTAAAATAACAATGAAAGTTCCTTTCTCAAAATACACACGAAGTATTGCTAATGGAAATACGTGGACCATAGCAGCTGGAAGAGTTAGAAAAACGAAATGAATTAGTATCAATATCTCAACATCGATAAGTATTCTAAGCGAACAACAAAAAATAACGATATTACATAATGCACATCATGAATGAAGGTACGTGAACGCGATGGAATGTAATGAGAATGTTTACCGAATATTTTGCATTTGCTTCATCTTCTTCTAACATTTCTTCTGCAGCTCTATCCTCTGGAAAATACCGGGAACGTCCACCTGCAAGGTTATTTATATGAGGGCTGGTCGAAGTCAGTTACAACAAATAATTTGAAATGATGCGTTTCAATCTCGTGGCAGTAACAATTGCATATTTGTTATGATTGCGACAATCGGTTACCTCGTCTTTCTTGATAATACCCTGCACCTGGAGCTCGGTCGTTGGAGAAGCTATTGCGACGAAAACGATTTTCATCTCTGCGACGATAATCAGAACGGCCGAATGTGGCACCATCATCTCCGGAGAAGCCTCGACTGGCTTGAGAAAAATTTGAAGGTTCACGATAGGGTGATTGATTTGAATCGCCGAATCCAGTGCGACTGTCTCTGTTCGCCATATTCGAAAACTCTCCGAAACCTTCATTTCGAGCTCCGAATCCAGAACCACGGCCGAACCCTCCGTGTTCCACGGGACCATTGTCATTTCTGGTGTTCGGTGATCCGAATCTTCTCCTTTGTTCATCTGGTCTGGGTTCATGAACTACACTATCAGAGGCGTCGAAATTCGATCGCCTTCTGTCATCTCTTCGATCCTCATTCATAGGACCGTATTCGTAATTATTTCTATTCGCTCCATAGCTATTCGGATCGGAGTTTTTGACTGCTTTTGTATCCCAATTATCTTTTTGCGATGATCTATCATTGCGATATGCACCAGCACCCCGACCACCACCATAATAATCATCATCATTTGAATCATTGAATCCTCTGCTAACTCCCCCACGTTCACGATCGTACCCACCTCTACCTTCCCCAAAATTACCATGGGGATCACCGAACCCACCTCTGCCTGCATGGTAATTTTCGTATCCCCCCCTGCCCCTCCCTCCGCCGGTTCCAAATCCCCCTCGGCCTCCACGGTAATTCGTGAACCCTCCTTTTTCGCTTCTGCTTTCATCTTCTCTGTTTTCTCCCCACCTGTCGTCACCATACCCCCCTCTTCCGCCCCTATTTCCACCTCCCCTGTCTCCCCGCCCGTCGTCACCATACCCGCCTCTTCCGCCCCTATTTCCACCTCCCCTGTCTCCCCGCCCGTCATCACCATACCCCCCTCTTCCAAACCCGTCTCTTCTTTCTTCACGCTCCCCTGTGCTTCTCCGATCACCAAAAGCGAACTCTTTCCTGTTTCCTCCGTTGTCATCAGCGAACCTCCCTTTCCCACCTCCACGATCATTATCAAACTCCGCTTCCTGATCATCATTAACGAGCCAACCTTTATTTTGCTGATCGCCATCACCGAAGCTCGCTCTCCCCCCTCCATCTCCCCGTCCGAAACCCGCTCGACCAGCACCGAACCCTCCCCTGACTGCATGATTATCACCACTGAACCCTTGTCGCGCTCCACTATCGAATCCACCTCGGCCAGTCCCCCCACGGAACCCGGCTCTCCCTCCACCTGCAGTGACGAATCCTCGCCCTCCTCCTCTGGCAAACCCTCCTTCTCCATTTCTCTCATCACCGTACCACCCTTCCCTCCCTCCAGTTTCACCATAATTATTATCATCCCTCCTATTCGGTGAATCGTCATTCTGCAACAATCATCCAATTTCAATATCATTGTCAATACCAACAATCTAGATATTAATCTAAATATTCTCTAACGTTGACATTCCATACGCAACTGCTCAAAATATCAACTTCAATTGAATGAAACTGCTTGGCAAAGACGTTATATACCTATCAACAATACATGCCATCTTCATCTATCATTGAAACAACGGAACTTCGCCTCATTTACAGTACCAATTATAATGACAACAATAACAACAATAATAAAAAGAAAAATAAAAATAAAAAAATAATAACAAAACAATAACAAATATAGTGATACCAGATAAATAAATGAAAGTATAATATCAAATAACCTGATTTTGAAAGCGGTTATCTCGGTCGTTGAAACCTGCAGAATTGGATCTTTAGAGGAAACCTCTCATATTCATCATCACTACTAAACAATCAGCAAAAGAAACAACAAGATTATTAACCAGAAAACTATTAACAATAATAGGAATAATGTAATGATACTATTGTCTGATGGAAATAATACTGCTTTCATCACTATAGTCAGCATTGTTGTCATGAGAGCGTCACTAAATTACTCCCTTCATCCATAACTATTGTCAATAAAGTGTAACAAGACTGAATGAAAGAAGAAACGGTTCAAGAATTTTCATTCTGAATCACCTCTTCCTTGAAGTCTTGGCCTTGCATAGCCTTCTTGATCATTGAAGTCATTATTCATTTGTGAGTTTGCTCCTCGAGAACCTCCGAAGCCAGCTCCGCTAAAATCATCGAATAGGAATAAATAAAACAAACTAAAACAATCTGCACAACCCAAAATTGTAACCAATCAACTGCCCTGATATGCTCACTGTCACGCGCCGAAATTGTGCGCAATGGTTGATAAAATTCATAAAAAACATGTGAACCTGGAATTCTCATAAATTCAATCCTCGTTCGTATCATATCCTAGTCAGTGGGGAAACAATCTATCATACTGCATACTTCCCTTTCTGATTGCATAACTCAGCTTTGAAATATACGCCAAAAAAAGGGAAAACTAATTTCGCATTCACGAAATGAATCATGCGAAGAATGCGTCAAAACACACATGTTACGTATGTATATGCCCCCTGAATTCGTTCACTAAAAACGAGCACTTAAATTCA